TTCGTATTAGAGATAGAATCAAATAAATCTTTTCTACCTGGGCTGTCTCTAGATCTGTCTCTCTGTCTCTACCTCTGTCTCTGTCTCTCTGTCTCTCCATCTGTCTGTCTGTCTGTCTCTCTCTCTCTCTCTCACACACACACACACACATACACATACTTCTGCACTCCTAGTAGAAAGGAAGGTGCTGACAGCTGAATGGTTGAATGGACATTAGTGTTTTCTTCTCTGCCTGTCATTTCTGTCTTCCTCATTTGAAATGCTTGCATATAAAATCACTTATGACTAAAAGAGTGAAAACAATACATAAAGCAATGGGCTAAAAGGAGTAAATGACTTCCAATGAACAACAAATTTTGAACATTCCTACTCTACAGATTTATTGTGGTTGTTATTGAAGTGATAGAATCTGGGAGGTAAATGACAAGGACCCTGCTATAACCTTACAGACAGAGCATCATCAAGGCTGCCCTCACCCAGCTGGAGCTCTGTCTTTCCCATCAGAAGCCAGACAGCCTGGTCCATCAGTGGCAAAAGTTGTCCATACAGTGCAGAGGCTGGGTTGTATTATAGGTGGATTTGAGAATTAGGTCTTCTTTTTAGGCCCATGATGGGAATTGGTCAGATGGAACAGTAACCAGGTGGACTGGTTACTATCAAGGGGAAACATCTCCTGCTTGAGAGATTATTATTGGACTATTATTGGATTATTTACCACATTTCTCTGGGCTGTGCAGTTTTTCACTTTAGGGAACCATTGGTTTTGAGAGGTGTATAATTTATTCTGCAATCTTAGGCTTTATCAATTTAACAGAAGTCAAACATTTGAAGATATTAAATGTTGCATTGTTTACTTTCGGAAGCATTAATTTTTTTTCTTTAATAATAGGGCTTGAACTCAGGGCCTACATGCTGTCTCTGAGCACTTTTGCTCAAGGCTGGCACTCCAGCCATGGCTCCATTTTTGGTGTTTGAGGTAGTTAGTTGGAGATTAGAGTCTCATAGACTTTTCTGTCCAGGCTGGCTTCAGAAATGTCCCCACAGTATAACCCTTGCTTTCACTGTATTTGATGTCGGTATAATTTGTGGAGGGGAAGGGGAAAAACAAGTCATTTAAATAAGGATACAGGTGGACCCGTTGCAACAATGAGAAGTACAAGTTGTTGTGTCTAAAACGAACTTTACAACTTTGGTGGTGGGGCGGGGGAGAAATGGGGGAGGTGAGGCTGGGAAGGGATGGGAAGGGGAAACAAAGGAGGAGGCTACAATGTTTGATAAGAAATGTACTCATTATCTTGCCCATGTAATTGTAACCCCTCTGTACAGTATTTTCACAATTAAAAATAAATAAAAAGAAAAAAAAAGAAATGTAATCCTTCTGAGTAGATTACAGGCATGAACCACCCACACCCAGCTCTTTCCGATTTTTAGTCTCAGCAGCTGCCAACTTAAAAATCAATCTTTTCAGCTACAAACCACCCCTTCACACACAATTTTCCCTTCTTCGCTGTACCTCCTAACAATTCAAAATTAAAATGTACAAAAGATATGTACCATTTCTTTGAAGTAATAGAAAAAATTGGACTCAGTACATGGCACTGTCTTATCATGTGGTTCATTCTCAACATAGTATCTAGTATTGCTGCTGAATTAGTTCACCCTTTGTCCCACCATTTCTGTGCTTCCCCTTCCCCTCCTCAAATCAGATCAACTTACATACAAGACAGAAAGCCCCAATGTGCCTTAGAGATCTGTCCATGTGACACATGAAGACTTTCCTCATCTAAACAAGTATCTAGAACACTAGCAGGCCATAATTTGTTTACTCATTGTTCCTGATGATGGCCATGAATGCTATTTTTAATACTCTGTAACTTTAGCTAATATTGCAGTGAAAATCCTTATAATATGCTCTGCCTCTCTGTTCGCATGGGTGAATTAGAGAATAAAGGCCCAGTTTTTTGTTTGTTTGTTTTAATTAATACCAACAAATGGAGCTTGGTTGTCCTCGGAACAAATGATTTCCTGTAATCTTTTTGAGACATGATTATTGCTAGGTTATTTTTCCTGGAGCTTTCTAACCCATCACTCTTCCATTGGGAAAGAATAGTGATCCTGAAAAAGAAAGTAGCAATTGCACTATATAAGTAGGTAACTGAAGTGCACACACCCCAAAAGGCCAGGGTGGGGATAAACAGACAAAGAGAAGATCCAGACGGGGACTGAACAGAATCTGCAAGGTATATTTCTTAGGACAATGAGGAAACAAGTTATAATTTATTTAGGGCACAGATGGGCAAATATCTGCAGGCATGTGGTCCATGCAGGCATAACCAATCAATAGTGGCATGATAGATATAGCCAATCCATCAGGGTGCTCATTCTCCTAGACTTTACCCAGCTTTGGAACTCTCCTCACAGCTCTGGTATGGAAACAGATATGGAAGCCTACCTATCTTTCCTGGAGTCAGAGAGAAGTTGGAGAGACAACTTAAAGTTAGAAACTGTCTGAGGTGTTCAAAGGACATGAAGGAGAATTTAGAAAACGTATTTACATTTCATGATTGATGAAACACCTGGGAATTTTCCTCATGAAACAACAGCAGGGAATATTTCTCTCTGGTCATTTGATACTGGGGCTTGAACTCAGGGCTGAGGCATTCCTTTTGCTTTTTTCCCTCAACTCTACTGCTCTACCATTTGAGTCAGAGCTCCACTTTCAGGTCATGGACTTTCTTGCCCTGGCTGGCTTAGAACTATGATCCTCAAAATCTCAGCCTCAGCTTCCCAAATACCAAGGATTACAGGTGCAAGCCACCAGCACCCAACTCTCTCATTGCTTGTAATTGTTTTATGCCTTAGTTCTAAATTACCCTATGCATTGCTTTCTAGCAAAGTAATTGAATCATAAGGGACCCATTTTAATATCCTCCTCTAGAAAGCCCATACGTTGAAAGATGTTGTCTGCTAATTAAATTATCTTAGGTAAAGACAACTACAGCAGCAAGCCAGCATTCATGTGCCAGGTTCTGTGTATCTCAGATTCATTAACTTTTTATTAACTTTATAAATCATCACAGCAGCCCAAACATGGATGCTATTACTTGTTCCATTTTTTTTAAATATTTTAAAGGTGATATCCAGAGAGGTTACGGTTACATAAATCAGGTAATGAGCACATGTAGTTATGGAATTTGAGACACAGAGAGTTTAAACATTTTGCACAAGGTTACACTGGTAAGTGATATAATGAATGAGTTGTCTAGTGTTTAATTATAGGTATGTCATTTCTAATTAGAGGAAGATAATAAGATTTCCCCAAATAAGCTGATATCATTTTGTCCAGAAGCAAAGAAACTTGTTGTCTCAGCCCATGTGTGTATGGCAAGCTGTTTCTTGTTTGACTTTTCACAATGTTAAAACAGCGAAGACTTTCATTTATTAGTGTGTGTGTGCATGTGTGCATGTGTGCGTCCATGCATGCCTGTACTGGGGCTTGAACTCAGGACCTTGGTGCTGCCCTTAGTTTTTTTGCTCAAGACTAGAGTTCTACTACTTGGACCATGGCTCTACTTCTGTCTTTTTGTTGGTTAATTGGAGATAAGAGTCTCATAGACTTTCCTATCCAGGCTGACTTCTGAGTGTGATCCTCAGATCTCAGCCTCCTGAGTAACTGGGATTACAGGCATGAGCCACTGGTTTTTGACCTTCATGATTATTTCTAAAGACTGCAGGGATCTAATATCTTAGATTGCAAACTAGTTATTTAGCCCCTCTGGGTTTTGTTGTTGTTGTTGGTGGTGGTGGTTTTGTTGGTGGTGGAGGTTCCTGAGAAAATAGCGAGCACTGGTCAAAGGGAATAATAGTGCAAACTGATTAATTGGGTTAATCAGGCTACACAGCTGAGGTATTGAGGACCCATTTTCTGCAATCGTCCTGCATAGCTAGTTTCACCATTTATCAGCTGGGTCACTTTGGGCACATGTTGAATGAGCCCCAGGTTTCACATTGGCTAAACAATATCACCCCTAAAAAGGCTTAAAGGGAACCTGGCACTTTGTAAGGACTCAGGATGCATTTGCATCCAATGAACAGAACCTGAAGGCTTAGTGAGCAACACAAAGGAGGCCAAGTGAACCATAGAGCTCATTCCAACTTTTCTCTCCAACACAAGCAGATGAGGAGCCCCATGAGGGAGACTTCTAGACCTCCTAATGCATCTCCAGTGACACTGACTCTTTTATTACTCCACTCCTGACATGCTCTGAGAAGCTTAGGGACATCATTATTAGTGACTTCAAAAGCTGTTCAAATGACCTTTGTCTGTGGTCTAGAGAGAGGGAGGGAGAGAGAAAGGGAGGGAGGGAGAGAGAGAGAGAGAGAGAGAGAGAGAGAGAGAGAGAGAGAGAGAGCGCCAACAACAGGGACCAGTTTGGTGTCTACCTCAAATAAATGCCTGTTGGGGTAACATGATTTGGGGCCACTAAGGCCTTTGTTTGGAGATTGAGCTAATTTTTCTTCCTGATGATATGACACTTGAGAAAATGATCTCTCCCCACTTACTGTGAAGAAGGCATCACCTCTGTGTGTGATGGGGTTTATGCTGGCTTGGTGCAATATTCATTTCTAGAGGATCTGGAAGAGCAACTGGATGCTGATTCTGCATTGAGTTTGTCTGAGGTACTCAATGTTAAATGCTCCAAATCCTTAGCCATCTGTGGCTTCCCCAGAATCACCTGGGAGGCAAGTAAAGCTACTAGAACAGCCCACTGAAGTGCACACTCCCTCTCTTGTGCCTCTCTCCTAGCAACTGTGACTCAACTATTACTCAGAAACTTTTAACTCTATAATTTGTACCCTTGTCTGGGTTGTTATTATTGCTGAGTTGTTTATGTAGACTACTGAGGAATATCTATGGAAACCTAGGCTGTGCCTTGGAATTCCATTTCGTTATTAACTAATTTGACCCACATCTCTTTTGTGTTTTTTTTTCTCTCTAGCACTGGCTTGAACCTAACAAATCCATCTTCAAGCAAATGAAATGTAAGTGTCAATATATGCTTTTCCTTTTGCTATGAAAGTATTGCCAGATAGGTTCTATTTCCTAATACTTTTGCTTCTCTAGAGAAAAAGAGTCGAGTGGAAGACAGACAGGCGAGCAAGAGCTTCTCTCTCCTCACGAGTCCTAGACATCTTTTCCCCATCCTTTCCCCTTTTCTCTGAATTCTGTTTCCTTCAGCCACAAATCCCCTTGTCTCCTGGGCCTCTACACCTACCTACCATCTTGCCCTCACATTTCATATTTGACAGCACGCTGAGATTTGATACTTAAAAATCCCTCCAACATAATCACAGATGTTTGGTTCCTTCTGACTATGGGGTTGCTAAGACAGGGTTGTGGGGGTGCAGTTTTGAGTGGGATGGAACAAGTAGGTATGTTTGGAACCTAAAATCTTACTGATAACACAATTAGTCTTTTCTGCTTTGTTAACTCCAAAAATGGAAGAAAAAGGTGTTGTTTTTTTTCTGGGTAATTGGTTTAATGTTTTGGTGTTCTGAACTCAATTCCTCTGTAGAATCTTTTGGTCACCCACCAAAGGCACTGGGAGGGGGTGTTGACTGGTAGATGGCCCGGGTGACATGGTGTTTTCGTCTTGTATCAATTTTGTCTTGTATTAATTACACCAAGAGCTTTCCAAGTGTGCCAGGTTGGAGACAACTTGCTTTTACTTATGGAGAACTTGTGAAGGGCACCTCAGAAATTCACTGCCCGTCCCCAAATCCATTTATCTACCTATGTCCACTTTCTCAGAGCTCTGAAATGCAGGCAATAATCAGTTTCTCATTAGTGATCGGAATGATATGTATCATGCTCTGTGTCATATTCGTGGGCTTCTTTTTTTCTCAAATATGGAATTATTCTGGGCCGGGTTTCTCAGTAGGAGAAAGAAGACATTAAACATGGATTACAAATGCAGCAGCCACTGACCCGAGCATGCCTTTCCTTGTCCTTCACCCCACACTGTTCAAGAGCAACTCTGGTCAGTGCAGGAAGGATGCATGTTGCTGAGAACAGGTGCTGCAGCAGGTGTGGGAAGCGCAGGGAAGCCAGGCTGGAGGCGAGTCTGGAAGAGAGTCTGGGCCTGCATCCCCCTCAAGGCAGGCACCCAGGAGGTTCTGTAGAGATTCCTAGAGCAGAAATAGAGAATCCACTAACACGCTTGAAGAAAAGGGAATGGATGCTTCGTTTTTCCCTCTTCACTGCTAAAAGCTGACACTTTTGTTTGGATGGTTAAAAATGTTTAAGCTACTTTCCAATAATCTGATTTGGTCCGGTTTTTAGAGTACATGAATTGTACAAGAGGAGGTCTCATTGTGACATTTCCACACAATTAAATAATGTATTCTGATCTACCTCCCTCATCCCACTCCTCCTGCTTAAAGCAGTATCAATAGATTTCATTGTTCTATTTTCACACATGCAAATAAAATACATGGACCATATTCATAATCACTCACCCACTCTCTTAGCCCTGCTGATGCTCACTCTCTCTTGGTAGCATGTTTACTTCTCCCCCGTGCCCCATCCCCACCCCCAGTCCTGGGGCTTGAACTCAGGGCCGGCCTGGGTGCTGCCCTTGAACACTTTTGCTCAAGGCTAGTGCTCTACCACTTTGAACCACAGCTCCACTTCCAGCTTTTGAGTGGTTAATTGGAGGTAAGAGTCTCATGAGGACTTTTCTGTTGCCTGGGCTGGCTTTGAACCAAGATCCTCAGATCTCAGCCTCCTGACTAGCTAGGATTACAGATGTAAGCCACTGGCACTAGCTTCCTTTTTTATTTTTTAGTGTGTTTTAATTGCAACAAGAGCTTTCAGTATGGTATTTCAGGCATTTATATTATATATGATTTATTGATATATTTTATATATGTGCATGCATATATGTATGATATGTATGTATATATACGTGTGTGTGTGCGTGTATGAGTGTAATTGCTTTCTCTTTGACTTTCTCCTTGATTCTTTTGCCATATGGTATTTTCCATAGGCCTTAAATACTAGAGATTGAACTCAGGAAAGAACTAGAAAAATCTCTACACATTTTTATTGTTAGCTTCCTTCCCTTCCTCCCTCCCTCCCTTCCTTCCTCCCTTCCTCCTTTCCTTCCTTCCTTCCTTCCTTCCCTCCCTCCTTCCCTCCTTCTGTCCCTCCCTCCCTCCTTTCCTACCTTCCTCCCTCCCTCCCTCCCTCCCTCCCTTCCTTCCTTCCTTC